CAATGGAAAAGAAGTAATAAATATTGTACATGAGGTTGATATAATACATTAAACTCCTTTCTACAAATCAAGTTTTGTTCCATCACATAAATTTTATAAATATAAAATAACTCAAATAACTTGTAGTTGATTGCACATATTTTACTTTACTATTTTCATGATATTTCTAATTATTAGATTTAATATGAATCAATAGAATGTAATAATGTTTTTTATATCTATACATGCAAACTTAATGTCTTTTTTTTTATGTTTTGAAATACTTGAAGTAGGCGTCATATTCTTGCTACTATGATGATGAGTAACCTTCATCGCTCCGACACTACAGCGATTTTTTAATGTTTCATTTATTACATGAAAATTTAAATCACTTTTGTTCTATTAAGTGTTCAAAGTTCATTAGTTAAGTTTGAGCTTTGATGTTTGAAGTGATTAGAGCTTCAAATAAAATTTTAATACTCGTGTTTTGAATTTTTGACGTGTTTATGTTGTTTGTAGAAAGTAAATTATGTGTTAATTCTTAGACGAGAAAAAATTATTCTAGGAACCGATAAAAGGAAGAACCGAACCGTTTACTACCGGTTCGGTTCCATAACGGTTCTTGATTTTTTATATAGGAACCGAACCGATTTCATTAATTAAAACTTTTATAATGGTTCCACTTATTTTGAGTAAGAACCGAACCGGTCCCAGCCCTAAGATTTGCCAAACAACAAACAAATTGCCGCATATCTTCAACACAGTAAAAAAGTAAACCAAAACAAGGTACCCATAATAGTTAATAATTTCTTCAGACTTCCAAATTCAAAGTGTTTGCATTTATTTTGGGGGTTTTCGTGTTTTTAAGAACTAAGTTTCTCATATAGTTCAACTGTTAAAGCATGCTTTCTTGTTTATGGTCCTTTAAAACTGATTTTTGTCAACCCCTACTCACTACCACACCAAAGTGACTATTTACTCGTCATGCGTGATTAGACCCTTAGAGGTCTGCCATAAAACCTTCTTTAGAAACTTCAAAAAACTAAATGGATTTATTCAATACCATCAAATTCTAAGGGTAATGTCACTAAGGTCGCACTCTACTAAAGTAATTACGTTCCCAGTAAATAACTTATCACATTTTACAGAATCCAAACCCAACATAGCTCATACCTGAATATATTAATGCTGCTATCAAGTAAGTCAACTAAATTGGTCTAACTAATCATATTTTCTCAATAGGTGTGCGGACTTTCACATGTCATGTGTATCTGAGTACTACACAGTTCCCACAAAAGTTCCAAATGAGTTTCAGATTTATGATTGGGGTTTATCCCAACTCTTAAGATAATTTGGAGTTTCAATATGTAGAGGAGTGTTTCTCACTGAGTGTTATATTTCATTACTAATTTTATTTTCTCTACTATGTATTAATTGGATATATTTAAAAGAACGACTTCCTGCTTTACGAACTCAATTCCAAATTTTTTAAAGGTAAGTGTCAGATTGGTACTCGAAGTTGCATAAAAAGGGTCAAATAAGTCCTTATATAAGAGGTTCTGTCCGGCCGTTGCCATTTGGGGCAGTTTCCGTTGGAATTTTTTGACGAATTTTTTTTAACATCTTATTCATTAAGTCTAGTTTACTCATACCAAATTTGAGCTAAAAATTCAACCGGGAAGGCATTCAAATGAATTCTTGATGATAACTACGCAATTAAAAGCGCAGTTATCTTCAAGAATTCATTTGAATGCCTTCCCGATTAAAGTTTTAGCTGAAATTTGGTACGAGTAAACTAGATTTAATGAATAAGATGCTCAAAATATTTCATCAAAAAATTCCTCCGGGAACCGCCTCGAATGGCGACGGCCAGACAGTAAGGACTTATTTGACCCCTTTTTATGCAACTTCGAGTAGGGGTGGCAGCGGGTCGGATTTTCACCGGGTGGAGGCTCATCCACGTCCACCCGATAATTTTTTATACTCCACCCACCCGTCCATCATCCATTAAAAATTACATCCACATCCAACCCATCCATCTTGAACGAATTATCGGGTGGATCGGGTGAGTAGCGGGTGAAATATAAATGTTCAAACTTGAGACAAAATAAATAAATTACAAAGAGAAATCATGACAATTAAGAACCAAAAATTAAGAATTCATTGTAAAATAACAACAAAAACATGAGCAATTAAGTATATTACAATCATTAATTCACTGCCAATGATAAAGAAAAAAACTGAATGTTAATCAAAATAGACATAAAACTTCTTCAAGTTGTTAAATTCTGCATTTATGCATCGGCACAAAACTATTTTTGCTATTTAACTGCCACTAGGCTCTCCAATTATCTTTGTTTATCCAATTAACTATTATTATTATTATATATTATTAAATAGATATAATATATATTATATATTATATATTATATACTTGTATGCGGGTCAGCGGGTGGGTGGATGGAACGGGTGACGGGTCGGGTGATGGGTTGGATGAGCCTTCATCCACACCCGATCCACCCCGTCTTTCGATCCACCCGTCATCCATTTTTCATCCATACTTCTTCGGGTTTTCATCCATATTTTCGGTTCGGGTTGACCGGGTATCCGCGGGTGCGGGTGATATTGCCAGCCCTAACTTCGAGTACCAATATGACCCTTAGCTCAAATTTTTTATCTTGCATAATAAGAAGGTATATTATCTATATTTGTGCTATTGGTGTGAATAATTTGGTTGTATGTGTTGCATAGAAGGTAGTTCTTGATGTGCCGAAGTAGTACTCATATAAACAAGATTCATTTATTCAAGAATTGTATAATGTTATCTCATTATGTTCTTGTGTTTGGATTTTGATTAGAAACTAAATACTCCATTCAATATTAGAAAGCATTTTTATTTGCATCTTTATCTTATTTGAATGAAAAATCAATTTCTGTGGTGTGACTGTAATTGTTTGGAAAATTAATTCAATAGATACTTTCTAATTTAAATCATTATTACCAAGCCTAAAGTTTTATACATATTTCTCTTGAGCTGTGTTCTTTTGGACTAAAAATTACTTGTATGATCTTATTTAATCAACTCTAGGCCTCAGTTTTATGTTAAGAACCTAGACAACGCCAAACATTATTCATATTTGATACTTATAGCACTATTTTGTTTAGTTTTGCTAACAATGCTTATGTGTTATAATAGAGTCACATTTGTCTAATTCTCTTCCGATCTCTTTGAAACTGGTCGCATCAGAGAGAAGAGACAAATATAAGCCTAAGAGAAAAAGACATATTAGTTAAGTTATATGCAATAGTTAACATGAGCTGGAGTCTAATTACATTATGTTTAATTGAATGATGTATTGAGCCCATTAAATTATTCATTCCATCTGATACAAAAAAAACAATTCAATCCATTTGTTGTTAATTTTACTTGCTAATTACTTTTATATTTAAATAAAGGATGATGATTCGGATAGTTTTATTAGGATCTTGTGCTATCTTTCTAATGTTTGTTAATTATTGATCCACGACCTTATTAAGTCAATTTTAGATGAAATTCATACGAAGTAAAAGATTATTAAAGTCCAATTTATTGACATTATTTATGTACACTATCCTGTATAAATTTATTTCCCTTACTTGACCGCTGAAGTTACAGGTTTCGTCTACCGCTCCACATGAATAGCAGGACTTCCGATTGGGCTTCAGAGCTCCTTCTCAAGTAGCTGCACTTGGATTTTGAAGGTATCTGCACATAACTTAGAGTTCTCTTCATTAACTCTAACCTCAATAGACCTTAAATCAAGCTTAAAAGTGAATGAGTCTCCTCTGATGGATTTCATAACTAATAAAGTGCAGAATTGCTTAAATGCCAATCATTCAAGAACTCTAAATCATTTAGGCAGACTCAAGAAATCCCCTCTATTGGTTATTTGGTTTAATGTCAATTGAGTTCTAATATGGCTTTTAAAGCCCAATGACTTTGGACAAGCTGTCTTTGGACAAACATGGTGTAGTAGAAGAAGAAAAAAATACATAAGAAGGTCCCTTGATTGTTTTCATTTATTATTATCGTCACTTGGTCAATGTGTGTGTACAAAAAAAACTGACCCCCCCCAAAGCATGTCTTCATGTTTAGAAATCATACTATATATGGGGATAAAGCGGTAATTTAACCCACATTCATTATACATTATAAGTGGTAATTTAAATAGCATCTGCTATGTACAAACTCCACTCCATGCCTTCAGATCATTATGCATTATAAGTGGTAATTTAAATAGCATCTGCTATGTACAAACTCCACTCCATGCCTTCAGATGTGAACCAACGTCTCATACAAAAAGGTAACTGATAAGAATAGAAAAATAAAATCAACGGGATAAACCGTTGCCCAGATAATCAACGATAAAAATACCGTTGCCCAGAGCCAAAAGGCTAAAACTAATTTTATTCCAAGATGAGCCAGAATAAATCCTAACAAGGGGTTTAAATACCCATCTACTAACTCTTAAAGTAGGAAACAAAATCCGGCCTAGAGATCCTAATCAACTCCAACTAGGAAACAGAATAATAAAGATCCTAATCAACTTCAAATAGGAAAGAAATAATAGAAATCCTAATTAACTCTTAATAGGAAACAAATACTACGTATTAGAAATCCTATTTAACTCCAAAAGGAAACAAATCAGGAAAAATAAAAAGAATAAATATTAATTAAACAGCCCGCAACCAGCCTACGGAGGTAGGCTCAAGCCCGTCTCGCCTTCGGTAAACCCACGGGGGCTTCTTCCCCTCTTCTTCCAAGCCCAGATTCTGCTTCATATGAGTAACTAAAACCATACTTATGATTGTTAAAAACTACTTTCGGTTTTCTTGGTTTTTAGAAGTTATTTTCTCTTGTAGTTTAAAGATGATTGAAATAGGACATAATGTGTGATTTACTGAACCATTACCAGTCTTTATGGAGCAACATGTATGTGGTAAGTATTTGGAACTTGAAATAGGATAAACTCTTGAAACATTTGGAACGTATGCGTGACAATGTGCTACCAAGTTCCCCAGAAGCTAAGAGGAGCTCACTGTGGAGGAAAGCAATGAATCAGAATGCAAGGAATCACAGTTCCAAGACTTAATCACAAATTCAATGACCTCTATACACAAGGTATGATGTTGTGTGGAATAATAATGCATAATCATCTCTGCATTGGAAAACATATAACTGTGATGCATATTTATTATTTAAGATAATAATTATTATAAATAAGCAAGGTCATGTGTATGGCTTGGGTCTTGATTTTGTTTTATTTCTTACCACAGAGATATTAACATTAGGGTTGTGCCATTTTTCCCACGTCTTCACTATGAATTCTTCACAATCACTAAAGACAACTCCTTCCCTCTATTCTTTACAATCACTAAAGACAAGTCCATCCCTATATTCTTCATTTGATGTTTTTGTACAATTAAGGCGTGTCATATTTTCTGTCTCATTGAATTAGGAACATTTTTGCTAAAGTTGTATCTAACTGTTACCAAATGTTTGTTAAATATAGTATTAACTAATGTGTTAAGACAAAAATGAATGATACACCTGATGAATAATTAAATTGCAATGGAATAAAAGAACCCCTGAAAAGGTATCTTTTTTCCTTTGGAAACTTGAAAATCATATTCTTTCTTTTGAGGAAAAACTCAACCAAATTGATATTCTAGGGCCCTTTCAAATGCCCTTTATGCCCTTTGTGCAAATCCTGTCTTCCATTCTCGCATGAAACACCTGACCATAGATTATCATTTCATTCGTGAACATGTCCACAATGGTATTCTTCGGGTTGCTCATGTCCGCTCTGAAGATCAACTAGCAGATTCTCTTACAAAACCACTACCTCGACGCCGCTTTCACAGCTTACATTCCAAGATTGGAGTTCTTCCCAGATCCTCCAACTTGCGGGGGCATGATAGAGATAATCCATAATAATTATTATATTAGTTAATTATCTCTTGTATTTTAAGATCTCCGTATGTAAATCTTATCCTCAAGTTAGTTGCTATACTCTAGAGATCTCAATTGTACAAAGTATATATATATATACTATCTGCCTCCATACGAGATGAATACAACACACCATTATTCTCTTCTAGTTCATAGTTTCAGCAAAAAAGTTTGGAACCATTTTAAACTATAAGCCCAATGATTATTTTCTAGGAAAAATTGATTGTAATAATCCCAACTATTGGCGGTCCGCTTATAATAATCCCAACTATCGATTATTTCAGAATAATCCCAACTTTACGGACCTTCCGCCAATAATAGTCCTTGTAAATAAATTCATGTAGTTTCTAAAGTGGATGAGAAGAGAAATAGCAAGTAATCCCTATAAATAATCCAAACTTTTAATTTTTACGCTTAATTTCTATTTAAAATTCACTTTTATAGGAGGTAATATTTGATCATAGATCATTATTGGCGGACGGTCCATATAGTTGGGATTATACAAAAATAATCAATAGTTGGGATTATTATTAGCGGACCGGCAATAGTTGGGATTATTATTTTTAATTTTTCCTATTTTCTACCCAAAACTATGTAAGAGGCTGATACAACGATTTTAAAGGTAATATTGTTGATTTTAATTAAATCATTCCCAATATGGTTGTTTGGTATCTTTGGAAGATATGAAACAAGCATCTTTATGATTATAAAATGACCTATCTACCTGAGCCGATAAATGCTATAAAAACTAATGTATATTTTCCATTTATGATGCCAAACCTTTTACCTCTCACACCAACCAAATTCCTTTCAACATTCTCACTATCCCACCCAAAAAAAACCAACATTCCCTGTCTGAACACTTGGAACAAACCTCTTCCATCTTTCCAAAAGATAAACTTTGCTACTCGCTTCCTAAATACAACTCTTACTAGAAATGCAGATCTATTTCGGGATGACCTTGGCAATTACACTAGGCATATGACCTTTCTGGCCAGCACCGACGACATTAATCAAGCTACCTATGATGCTATCCTACAAAATGTTATCAACATCAAGAATATAAATAAAAATATCTTGAGATAGAATATAAATACAAACATCAAGATAATGTTTGGTTAGCATCAAGGGAATGTCAGAATATTGTTGGGTATGTTAAATCGATGAATTACTTTTATGCCATTTAAATATTTTCTCTTAACGCAATAAATCTATTACAACATACATCTAAAGTGATTAAAATTAAAGAAAAATGAATATCTTAATATTAAATAAAATCTCATTCAAAAAAAAATATTAAATAAAATAAAACCTAATTGAATTGTTTTTAATTAAAATATGTTTAATTGTACAAAGTTGTAGATCCAATACAGAAATGAAAAAAAACTTTGTTCAAATAGTAATATAAATATATTTATTATCATCTCAAAATTAATATTTAAAAATGATCAAGTTAATCGTAAAAGTTGTTTTCAAAATAAAGAAAAAATGACAAACTTTGCTATTAAATTTTGAAATCCACTCATCAAAACTTAAATAATCTATAACTCTTATAACATAAATACCTTAAAAAATTTAAATGATAAGAAAAAAATTATGCAAATAACGAAATAGACATTTGAATATAGTCAATACTCCGTCCGTCCCACATAAAAGGTTGTTACACAATTTACGATGTTCGACACACCATGAAATTAAACTAACCGATCTCTGTTAATAATAAGATTGTTTTTAGTAAATAAAATTTACATATTTAGAAACTACATTAAAAGTTTTATAAAGTCACAAAAATCAAATTTCATAACTATTGAATATATAAAGAAATTAAATGAAAAAAGATCATTAATTGAGGGTATTTTCGGAAAAAAATTAGATCACTCCGGGAATGTGAGATAACCTAAGGCATGAATGGGTTTAAGATTCCCATCCATATTACATTCCTGGGAATGTAACTTTCCCATTTTGCCAGTTTGCCACAGGGAGGGAAAAACTTGCTAGAAGTCTATCGCGTTAGGTGAAGAGTGGCCAAACTATTTAAGAAAAGTTAATCACATTCACATATTTGATAATTAGTAAATGCACTATTACCATGCACGTATAAACCTTCTTGGAAAAAGTCATGCCATCAAATGCTACTACCGTATTATTTTGCCATTAATTCATGAGAAAATTGCTCCAGGACTCAATCGTAGCAATTTGATAAAAATAGTACCTGAATACGTTTTTTTACTTGCGTAAGACCTATCTAGTTCTATTTGGTGGAGGAGACCTGTGGCGGATTTGGTGCGTTGCGACGGTGAAGTCGATCAGCGGCGGTGGTGATGGCTCAGTCGATCGATCTGAATCCTGAGGAGGAGAAGGGTGTCGATGAAGTCTTAGGTTTACAGAGTAGGTGTGCGATCGATCTGGTGTCGATGAAATACAGATCTGATGTGCGATCGATCTGGTGTGCGCCGCAAGGGAATTTAAAAGGAAGGGCAATTTGGTCAAAGCAGGTGTACATAAGTCTTAGGCTAATTTGTAGTCTTAAATTTGGAAAATCAGTATGATGAGGTACTAGTTGTTGAAATCTCCCTTAATTCATATGGACAAATAATACATGAATTCAATCTATTTTTACAAATAAATCAAGTAGCTATTAACTTGGTAAGATTATAATTGAAATTTGAGATATAATAATAAGGTAAAAGGCAGTCGTATACTAGTGAAAAACTACATATGAGGTGTTTTGGATTGATTCTGCTTCTTTTTTAAAGCAGAAGCAGAATCAGTTTTTATAATATGGTCTCCATCAGCTTCTAGAAAACTGCTTCTAGGAATAAATTAGAATACTAGAAGTACTTCTGCAGTTTCAACCAGACATTCCAACTTCTGATTTTGGTCCCTGAAAGAGCAGAAATGGTCATAAAAATCAGATCCAAACACTCCCTTAATTGACTAACATTGAATCAACAGAAGTTTGACATCTTAAATGTAGTGATTATGGTAGTAGCTTTTAATGACCATTTTACTTCAATTTTTACACTTAAATGATCACAATATTTAGTCATAGTAACTTTTGTCATATTTTTATCAATAGGTTTTATTTAAGTCATATTTTAGAGAAAAAAATCATTAAATAATATAGTATAACTTGCTAGGAAAAACCCTGCCTAGAGTCTCTTAAAGAAGGCAAACATCAATCGCCAATGCATGAAAGTACATTTCCCCTATAATTCTATGGAAAATAAATTCTGTATCTGTAATTTTTAAGGAAATGCGTAGTAATAATAGTACCTAAAATAAATATTTCACATTAGTAAAAAATCAGTAATACGGAGTATTTTGGGAATGCGAATTGTGCATCATATCCCGCTATACCAAAATATTATTAATAATAGCGGAATGCACAAGTTATGTTTGTGAACACTGTATCCCGCTAATCTCAGACACTATTCATTTAGTCAACACAAATCATTTTTAATATCTTAGTTTATATATATCAAACTTTTATCAAATATGATTCTGATTTTTGCGACTTTGTAAAGATTTTAATGTAGTTTTTGAATATTTAATTCTGTTTTCTTAAAAATTATTTGAATTCGGACAGGGATCAGTTTGCTTTATCGTCAGTCAAGCATCGTAAATCGAATTGTCTCAAACATAGCGGGACGGGGTAGTATGAAATAAGTGAATATTAAAAGGGTTACAGATCTACCTTTATACTTCGTATAACATGCCATTTGGCGCATGAATTACAAACACTTTTATTACATTATTACATTAATATGACTATTAGCGAATTTCTCACTAAAAACTTTGTATGTACCAGGTACGGTGTTTCACACATACACAATCACGACAACAAGCCTTTTAGCATCACTTCCGGTCAAGTTTAATTAGAGCATCTCCAATGCTATAATGTCCACGGTGCACATGTGGCATGAGTGATAACCACATAAATATTAGCAAATAAATTATATCTCTCCTTATTTGAATGATTTTATACAATTTTGGTAAGTTTTTCCCTACAATGTCAACAGCAATGTCAACATCTAGACGGTCTCCTTGACATTGTAGAGAAAAACTTACCAAAACTGTATAAAATCATTCAAATAAGGAGAGAAAGAATTTATTTACTAATATTTATGTGGCTATTTCTCATGCCACGTGTGCACCGTCTACATTTTACCATTGGAGATGCTCTTAGGAGAACTAATGCCCATACCTAAACACAAATAGCCGATTGATATGGTAATTTTAATTATTTAGTATACATTGGTTTCTAAAACTTTTATTCGCATAGAATAACACTAGACCGGGCATTCTGATCGAAATGATGAAATCGACAAAATCATCGAAATCAACCTAGCTGTATAATTAATGGGTTTCTATATAAATACCCATCTTTACTATTTTAGAGTTTTTGATACATTCATGTTGATGTTACTTTTTTCACTGTCGAAAAATATTTACTTCCCTTTTATATGTCATCATTTGAATAAATATAATATCAAAATGTAAGACGGAGTACGTAATGAAAAACAAAAACAATATAGCTGAAGCGTTCAACAAAAGTAATGACTTGGAAATTCTTTTATGTGTTGATTGATGTCGTGCTATACATATTACTCTCTTTTTTAAATTGTTCCAAAATGAATGACATGTTACTTTTTTCTTGTAAAAGATATGTGGTTCATATAATCAATATTTCAATTTATTTAACTCAAATTTGAATCATGACTTTTATTTTTTTTAACCACTTCATTAATAAGTGTACAAAACTAAATTAAGATAACCAAAACAAGGCATATGTAATACTAAGTATATGTTTGGCACAACTAGCTAAAAAAATACTTTTATGAACTTTTTAATAACTGTTAGCTTTTAATGACTGAAAAAATCTTAAAAGGAAAAGGCTGTAGCTGTTTGATACAAATCTGACTTTTTCATTTAGTTTTATTTGGTATAACAAACAGTGTGACTAATTAGGATGTTTTCTTTTGGACTGAAATTTGCTGGTCTGGTCTGGTACTGTTTAAGTCTGGTCTGGTCTGGTCTGAACTGGTCTGGTCTGGTCTGGTAAACGTCTGGTCTCTGTGTATTTTATAACTAAGAAATTCTGGTCTGGTCTGGTCTATTTATGTCTGGTCTGGTCTGGTCTGGTCTGGTCTGGTCTGGTCTGGTCTGTTTAAGTCTGGTCTGGTCTGCTCTGGGACTGAAAACAGTCCAAAAGAAAACATTCTTAATGCTAAAAGCTGGTGACTTTTTCCCAGATGTTACTCACTGTATCATCTAAAAAAAGATCTTTTATTTTGTAAAAAGCTCTTACAATTTATTCTACCAAACATAGAAGTTTTTAAAAACTTTTCAAATAATATACTCCGTAAAAGCTAGGAGTTGGAGGCTTATGCCTACCAAACAAGCACTAAGTAGGTGGTGTACATGATGTTTTTCATTTAAAATTATTTTGTCCATTTACCCTTAAAAGCAATGATGGTCATGCTTTGTAAGACTTTAATCGGACCAGCTAAGTACATACATCACATTGTATTATATTATCAATGTTTGTACATTGCCGTAGTGTTGAGTTTAATCTTACACCAAATATTAATATTTGATACTCCGTATTATTTTACTTTAATTTCATTATTTTCATGCACTACAATTTCATTTTTGTTATATATATACTCGCATTTTCTATATATATTATAGGTACATTTAATATATTTTTCTAGGGAATAACAATTAGATCAAATATTCCAAATTTTGAAGATTTTAAAATAAATAATTCAAATTTACATATGCAATATTAATATTACAATTGTATAATACTCCGTATTAATTATTAGTTTCATCTACTCTAGATTCCACCCGTGCATCGCATGGGTAATTCGACTAGTTATTACTAATATTAGCACTATTATTTATCGAATATATTTGATTACCATTTAAATTGAATATATTCATATTTGCATTTGAATTTTTCGAATTCGCCTTTAGTCTCTTTCCCATTCTCGTCCTTCATGTGTAACGTTCGCCTAGGAGGCTATGACTTGTTGAATCGCCGCCTTACCTCAGTATCAGTCATCCTCTTCTCTGCTGCTTGTCTGAGCCCAAGATCAGCTTTCAGGAACGGACGATTTCCGTTCAATGGCAGTTCGTCCGGTTCGAATCAAAGCTGTGGAGGAAGATAGAATAAGTCAATTACCAGGAGATGTAAAAGACAAAATTTTGGAGTTCTTAGACACTCGATCCGCTGCCCGAACAGCTCTGCTCTCAACTCTATGGAAGGAAGTTTGGTTTCAGCACGGTCGGCTTGTCTTCGATTGGGGGTTTGATCGTTATTTCGAGGAAGAACGCCATAAACCCTCGGCTTCATTTGGGAATTTGATAACAAACATTCTCTTGCTGCGTTCCAGACCAGTTAGGAAATTTGAGCTACGTATTTCGATTACAGATCCGATTCCTCTCCAGTCTGATATAGATCGGTGGTGTCTATTTCTATCTAGAAATGGAATTGAGGAACTCACCCTTTCTTTAAATTTTAACTTTGGGAATAATCTAAAACTATTTCATCTGCCAATTTGTATAGTCTCTTGCCCAACTATTAAGATACTCAGACTTGAGACTTTACTTTTACGTTTCCCTTCTAATGCTCAACCTGGTACTATATTTCCAGGCGTCATATCTTTATTTTTTACCCGTATCAAATTTGACCATTCTGGTGTGGGAAATATGTTTAGCATTCCCAATCTTGAGCATTTGGTCTTCACTAATTGTCGTGGTATGCCTAGTTTTTTGACCAGTGCTCCAAAACTGAAAAGCTTGGTGGTACTTTCTGCTATGCATGGATGGGATTGGTTTGGACTTCATCTTCAGGTTGTGAGGACTCTTTGGTTGTCTTCTGAACTTTTCATGTTGGAATCTTTTCGTTCATATAATGTTACTTCTTTCTGTGTTAGGGTTACAAAAGAATCTTCTTTTAGTCTTTAACTATTAGGTCTTTTTCTACTTTTGGCAATCAATGTTCATTTTATCTATTTTTTTGGCAGTTTTGGACCTTTGGGTCTGGTAGTTATTTTTTGAAAACTAACCAAAATTACACTAAATTTGATTGAAGCAGCCAGCGGTAGGAAGGACTATGAAAAATATATAGCAGAAGTAAAAAAATTGATTGATAGTCGTCGGAAAAAAATTATTAATTTATTATGGTTTCATATGGATTTCTGTTACCAGCTTTACCCACCGAGTGAAATTAACCTACCAGAGGGGTTCCCAACTGCAAGAAACGTTGAAGTGATGAAGTTGTTTGGTTTCAACTTTACTGTCCCAAAACAATTTGATCTTGTTGTGCTAATGATGACAAAATGTCCAAATCTATGTGAGCTGGAAATTGTACCAAAAGAGGTAATGTTCAACAATTCAAAACCTTCAATTATTTGGCTAGTTCGCCTGCTATTCACATGTATTTCAATAATAACCCATTCTGTATGTACATTATGATGTAGTTTATTCCTAGAGACGAGATAGAAGCTGCTGCAAAGAGTTCAATTGATCCAGAATATGGCTTTACTGATCAGGACCTGGGCACGCTTAAGACAGTGAAGATGCAATCATTTCGTGCATTAAGATTGGAAATACTTTTCGTCAAAGCAATCCTTTTGAATTCTCCAGCGCTTGAGAAACTTGTTATCCAGGAATCGCCTTATATTGATGCCTTAATGGCTTCCAAAACCGCAAGGAAAATGCTGTGCTTCCCCCGAGCTTCTCCAAAAGCACAAGTCGTCTTCTTGGAGTACAAATCGCCTTGAGATACCCAGCAGCTTAGTAGGTTGACCCCTGAGCTATAGCTTCTGGCCTTCCAATGAACTAATGCGTAATGTTTGAGCGTCCCTTTATAAACCAAATCAACCGTCTAAAACAAAAGCTCTCCTCCTCGGATTTCTAACTGTTAAAAAATCTATTTGGAGCTAGTTCAAGATTTTATTTGCTCGTTTTCCCGTACTTTTGGCAGTCTCCAGTTGAGATTTTTAGTGATACTCTAAGGGTAGATAATCTAAGGAGGGGCACCCTCAATGTGAATTATCATGAATTTTATAACTCCGGGATTCTAGGTGTTCATGATTGAGAATTGGGTAGATTCTATAAAAGTCTTGGTGTTTCCAAGAAAGAAAATTTGCATTCCTTACATTAAATGTTGATGTTCTTGTTTATTTTTTCTGATTATGATGGGTTCTATTTAATGTAGATATCTAACTTAAAACTACACTATAGTTAATCATATCAAATTTGACATCTTATTTGCAACTTTGAGTTTTCATGGTTGTAACTTATTTAAACTTAAATTATTAATAAACATAGTAAAAAAATCTTTTTAATAATATCAAGTGAAAATAGTCTTCTTCTTGTATTTTAATACAATTCAATGATATATTGTAAGCATTTTATTTTAATTGGTGCAACTGTATTTTCTTCTTCTTCTTCTGTATGACCCCATAATATATTAGATGTAAATTCTATATATATTCAATTGATGTACAATACATTAATTGATTATGTATCAACATAGCCACCTTAGTATAATTGATGTAGATTGTATTTGAACAAGAGTATAATAAAAAGTTTTTTCCTAAAATTAGTATAACTCAAAGGGTTTTTTTCCCTTAATATTACTAAAATAAAGTAAATTTAAAAAAATGTGACCACATTCATATTTAGACAAAAATGTGACTAAGGTCATTATATATTTGGAATCACCTTTTATACAATGACTAAGCTGAACATCCACAAAATTAAGTTGGATAACAAATCTTTGATTGATAACAATGAAGATATTAGTAATGCAGCTATCAACTTTTTCAGTGAGCTTCTTACTGCTACTGATATTACTGATTCCCTTGATCCTAGTCCCTATCTGAATATTATCAGTCCTGTTATCACCAATGAGGACAATGCATCTTTGCTCACTCCTATCACTCACGATGAGCTTAAGAGTGTTGTTTTTGGACTGAATAAAAACAGTGCATCAGGTAGTGATGGGTTCTTCTACCAATTTACTTATGATATTATTCATGTTGACCTTTTTAATGTTGTGAGGGAATTTTTTTTTGTGGTTATGCTCTTATTATGCTTATTCCCAAAGACAAGACTGCTTACCAGTTTTCTAAATATAGGCCTATCAGTTTTAGTAATGTTTTAAACAAAATTTGTACTAAGATTATTAGTCTTCGGATTACTCTTTTGATCCCTGAAATCATTTCTAACTACCAAACTGCTTTTCAAAGAGGCAAGGACATTTCAGATAACATTCTCGTTCTAAGAGAACTGGTCAACCATATTTATAACAAGATTAGGGGTCATAATATAATTTTAAATTTTATATGATGAAAGCTTTTGATTGGATATCTTGGCCCTTTATTACTCTTACTTTGAAAATTTTTGGCTTCCACCCCTTGTTTATTAACCTTATTTGGAACAATCTGAATGCCACCTGGTTTTCTGTTTTAATTAATGGAGCTCCAAAAGGCTTCTTTAAACCGAGCACAAGTGTTAAACAAAGGGACCCCCTCCTCTCATTCTTTTCATCATTGTGTCTGAAATCCTTACAAAGCATCTTAATTCATTATTCTCTTCTGGTATGGTGAAGCATTACTATATTTTTAATGGCATGCCTAATATGAATCACTTATCCTTTGCTGATGATCTTATTGTTTTTTCCAATGCTGAAAAAATGACTCTTTTCTTATCGAGTAAAACCATTAAAGATTACGAATACTTTTATGGCCAACTTATAAGCAAAGATAAGAGTTTTTATCTAGTCTCTAAACATGCTAAAAGGCACACGTTAAAGAATGTGAATGATATTTTCAACCTAAACAAGGCTCTTTCCCTTCTATCTACCTGGGTGCTAATATCTTTAATGGCAGAATGCTTCTTATTTTGAGCGTATATTGACTAAATTTGATAAGAAGTTGGCAGGGTGGAAACATAAGTTACTTTGGTTAGGTGGAAAGATGATCCTTATAAATATGTTCAAATGGAGAGAAAACTCTCTAATGTCCTTTGGGATAGTAGTACTGATAATCACAAGCATATTTGGCGTAGTTGGGATAACTGCTATTACCCCATTTTCGAAAATGGCTTAGGGTTTCGTAGCTTACATTACACTCTGAATGCTTTTTTCTAAATCTTCTTTGGAAGACCAAAACCAACAATGGGGTTTGGGCTAAATGGTTCAATGTCTTGAAAGATCATACCCGTTCAATTATGTATAAACCCCTCGTTTCTGTTGATCACATTTTTATGCCAATACTTTTATACAGGTTAATAACAGTTCTAACTCTTTCTAGTTTTCAAACCGGTGTGACATGGGCCCCTTATACCTTCACCATGATGATATCCCTATTTATGTGAGCAATATTTCTATAAAAATGCAATGAGTGGTAATCTTTTGATCCCAACTGTTTATAACTGCCTCCCTAGACTCATTGCAGACAAAATCCAAGAAACCAAAGTCCATTTTACCGACAAAGAAGACGAATACCTCTGTAAACCCAACCCAATGGAAAATTCAGTTTTTCTAGTGCCTATAATGTGTTAAGGCAAAAAATGAATGATACACCTGATTATAAATTGCAATGGAATAAAAGAACCCCTAAAAAGGTATCCTTTTTCCTTAGGAAACTTGAAAACCATATTCTTCCTTTTGAGGAAAAACTCAACCAAATTGGTATTTTAGGGCCTTTCAAATGCCCTCTATGCCCCTACAATGACACCATCAACCATTTTTCTTAAATGCTGCTTCAGCAAAAAAGGTTGGAACCATTTTAGACTATAAGCCCAATGATTATTTTCTACTCAAAACTATTTAAGAGGCTGATACAATGATTTTAAAGGTAATATTGCTGATTTTAATTATATCATTCACAATATGGTTGTTTGGTATCTTTGGAAGATACGAAACATCCATCTTTATGATAATAAAATGACCTATTTATGATAATAAAATGACCTATTTTAAAGGTAATATTGCTGATTTTAATTATATCATTCACAATATGGTTGTTTGGTATCTTTGGAAGATACGAAACATGCATCTTTATGATAATAAAATAAAATGACTTGGAACAAATTACTATAATACCAAACATTTTACCTCTCACACCAGCCAAATTACTTTCAATATCCTCACTATCCCACCCAAAAAAAAAAACATTCCCTGTCTGAACACTTGGAACAAGCCTCCTCCATCTTTCAAAAGATAAACTTTGCTACTCGCTTCCTAAATACAACTCTTACTAGAAATGCAGATTTCTCTCGGGATGACCTTAGCAATTACATCGGTCATATGACCTTTTTGGCCAGCACCAACGACATTAATCAAGCAACCTATGATGCTATCCTCCAAAATATTATCAACATCAGGAATATAAATACAAATTTTATTCTTGAGATAGATAATAGTAACATTTATGTCGGCATTAATGGTATTAGTAATCCACATTGGCACTATTGGCCTAGGATCCAAAATATCAGAAGGGAACTCCCTGCTTTCAATTGGGCAATTATCCACACTCATCCTGAGGTCAACTCGGCTGTTGAGTATCATGCATACAAAAGTACATCCATTGATACAAATAATTATCATTTTGAACTCTTTGTTGGCATTCTAAAGTTTGATGCAATCAGTTATCCACATGTAATTTGATTCAAGTAGGCTTTGGTCTAGTCCTCTACTCTATGCATTTTTTTCGCTTTCAAATAAAGACATAGAGTGTTCCTTGGCCCCTACCCCAAAGAATTTTCAGATTCTTTGGGCTCAAACCGGGTTTAAGCAAGAAAAAGGAAGAGGTTGCAGAGATGTTGAGGCACATGGGAGAAGAAAGAGAGCAGGAAAGAAAACGCCGATGACTTAGGTGGCAGAGCTTTGACCTTCCTCATCGGCGAAGATGACTTTGTCTTCAACACAGGTCATTGGCAAGGCAGTACAAGTTAGCTTAGGAATCACCGACTCTTCTTCTAGTTTCTTGTCTGGATGATTAAAGAAGCAGGGGAGAAAGGACGTTGTAGACTCCTATTTGCTTGCTTGGAAGAAGAAAGAAGTGAGGATGGCGGATTGAGGCGGAAGAAGGAAAAGAGGAGAAAAGGAAAAAATCCATAAAATAACCAAATTGGACTACCACCTCAGTATAATGTCTGAATAATCAAGAATAAACCTATTGGATAACAAATTTGAGCTATTTTGTAAAGTTTCAAGTCTCAACTGAATGTTCTTTTTTGTTCGGGGCTTAATTGATTTTCTTAAATACTACGAGGTCAATTTAATGACTTTCCATTTAAATTAAGAATGGCTCACTTGGTAGTGCCACATTGAATGAGGTATACTTTATTTAATGATATTTATTATCTGCAGGGCCGGCCCTGGGAAATGACCAGCAGTCCAACAACACAGAGCCCGTAATTATTGAGGGCCCAAAATTCTAATAGTCTTCCTTTTACTACCTTAATCTCATAATGGTTGTCTTGTTTCAATTTGACACGATTATTAATAAAAAGTGATTGAAAAGTAAAAGTTGTGATTGCGATTTGAGTAGAATGAAGTGAAATGATATGAACCACACATTTATTACAAAAAAGGAAAATGGCATCCATTTTGGGACAACCTTAAAATGAGACGGAGGGAATATTATTTATAAAATAATTAGAGCCCAAAAGTTAAGCCCACTTCTTTCTTAAAATTTCTGTGGCCAGGTATTTTCGAATTCGAGTAGATTGCTTACGCATATGGACAATGAACCATATCCATTTGATGGATGTTAAAAACCTTTCATTTGGCATATTTATATCATACCATTATTGATATAATCCTCAAGACTTTAAGCCCAATACCATCGACTACAATTATTTATATTAATTTGAAATCATAATAATAACTATTTTTTAGTATTGCACGCCTTTATTAAATTAATAAACTATTAGATATTCATGAAATATTCATTACGTTTATCAATTATAATTTTTTATACAAACATTACTTTGACATATTATCCATTTAATTCCAAACATCTATATGAGCCTGTGTATTTGGGCCTATGAAATAAAAATAATAGGTCGGGATTCAAAATCCCAACATGTGT